ATCATTTTTCTCATCCCGTGGAGCCAATCACGACTAAATATTCGAAATTTGAAAACCGCACCTTCAGGGGGTGTGGTTCTCGACGCCTAAATTTACCTAAATAATAGAACATGCAATAAATATCCTTATTTTCTGCCCGATGTTGAGAAATGCATGCATTATTCGGAATGTGAGCCCACGACGAGGGTGTGGTTCTTGTCGCATAAATTAAGCTAACAAAACATTAACACATAAAATATAATTTTTATGATGCAACGAGTTAATTAGGACAGAACCTCCGAAATTTAAAGTCACGATCCCAGTGGTGCAGTTCCTTATATTTTTACCGTCGTGATTAGACCTTATCTTCCTTCCATTGTGAGAATTTCATCGAAGCATACTAAATTGTCCATGAATGGTTGGCTTCAGTTAAATCAGCACGATTTAGATACTGGGTGAACATTGTATTTCTGTTTCTAAGAGCAAAGGGCCATGACCTTTTAATTCTGCAAAGATCTAACTGAATAATACAAGGTCCAAAAACACATAAATTCGATTCCTAAATTATGAGTAATTATTTACTTATCCAAATAATACTGTAAACAGTTTGCTATGATTCTAGCAGGTTCATGTACTTCATTTCTTGCACTGCTATGCAATCATTTAATTAAAGGCGTGATTATATATAATGTGTTTGTAATATGTAAGTATTTATGTTGAATTAATTATGTTAAGTATGCATAATTTTACAAGTCCAGTTGTGTGTCCACAATAATAATTGTACACCTGCATAATCGTGCATGAATTTCAATTTATTCTTAATACAAATAAAATAAAAACACGTTGGGGTGTAGTAGGACTATTTCTGGCGGATTTCTTAACCAAGTCACCTGAGTTATATTCTGAGGACGCAGAAATTCACAAACTTTATACGTGAATTAAACAAAATTGGTTTAATTTCAAATTAAAAATTGGCTCCACGAGATGAGAAAAATGATATATTGCATGCCTCTATTATATTTCGGTTGATTTAGGCGTCTAGGACCACACCCCCTGAGGGTGTGGTTTCTAAATTTCGAAAGTTCTGTCGAAATTGGCTCCACGGGATGAGAAAAATGATATATTCCATGCCTCTATTATATTTCGGTTGATTTAGGCGTCGAGGACCACACCCCCTGAGGGTGTGGTTTTTAAATTTCGAAAATTCAGTCAGCAGTAGGCCTTATCTGACTAAAATATTGTAATTTCAGGTTATCGTGCGACGTTACATACGTTCCTAACTCTGGAAAATTTTGGACTTGCAGTTACGTCTTTTTCGTAGTTTTTATTGTGCACTTACGTCTTTTTAGAATTAAACAAAGACTGCACTTACGTCCTTTTAGAATTAGTACGACGATAAGCTGCTTTTGAGATTATTCTAACCTTAAATATAATTGCTATAATTTTTAAATAATTAATTCTTCTAGGATAATAATGTGCGAAATAAAGTAAATACGTAAATACGTAAAGTTTTGCGCAAATACGTAAGATGTACGAGATGCATGACGAGATGTACACTACAAAATGCATACCATTTTTGTTGCCAGGTATAATAAAAATCCTTAATCTTTGGATTTCAAATTTGGATAACTTTGTCAGTTCTTAGCGGATTTGGACAGTATTGGTCTTAAAATGCCCGGATTGACTTTGTCTAGAATGTTTTCAATAAGCTAGTATGCTTCAGTGTCCCAATAACAAACTATAAAAAGAAATGTGTTTCCAGGGGAAAATTTTAACTGATTTTTGTCAATAACTTTCGCAAAAAACAAAAATTTAAGAAGGCGACTAGCACATCGTCTTCAACTTGTGTAACAATGATCGGTGCAAGATTTCAGCCCAATCGGTTGAGAAATGACTGAGATATCGCCGATGGTCACTTTTTTTGGGAGGGTCAAATGCATACTTAGTAATTTTTTCGTTGCTTGGTATTTGCCTTACTAAGAAAAAGCAGAGCACTCCACTGTGGAGGGAAGTCTAAAAGAAAGTCAACACAGAAATAATCAAAGCCACCCACAGCTTTACTTTAAAAGGAGCAACCTACAATCCGAAGCTAATGTACCTTTCAGCATGGCACGTTAAGTACTGAAATCCTTGAACCCCTGTTACGATTATGGTGCCAGAGGTCGTTTTCGTAGTTTGACCGATACGGTGCACAATATTGGTTGATAGGATTCTTGGATATGCGAAACAAACATAGTTTACGAATAAGGGTGCATTTTCCCTAAAAAGGACACTTCGAAAGAGATATAGAAAGACAGCTTTTTCTTTCTTTCGAAAGAAAAAATGGCATTTTTTCTTGGTCGTGCAATTTTGTCAAAATTCCAAGCAGATTTCCCTAGGCTGGTGGTTTCACTAACCTCGATTTCACTCGTGTAATTACGTTTGTTGTACTTCGTTTAAATATGTACGACTAAATTAGTATCACTATACTATGTACACTAGGCTGCATAAGTCATTGCCCAAAATCCACACGGTTGCAAATATATGGTTCAATTTTAATCAAAGTTTTAACCTGCAAAATTTAAACTTACATTTTAACCCAGAGCTCGGCGGATATCGGGTGAAAATCTCCAAATATCCGGATATATATCCATATCCGGGCCAAATTCTCGCTCTCCAATATCCATATCCATTAGAAAATCTCTGCCCCCGATATCCCAGTATCCAAATCCATGAAAAATTCTCGCCCTTCTCAACCCTTCTCAATTCTCAACCTTCAAATATTCAATACCCGCGATATCCGCCGGGTCCTGTTTTAACCTACCCAGTATGTTCACGAGGGGTGAGGAGAAGCTCTCAAATTTGTTTTTCTAACCTTTGAGACAATTTTCCACTGGTTTTTTTCCCCTTTTATCTACACTCAAAATTTTTAATAGAAATTATCCACCTTTTTTTGAATTACAGATATACCCAAAAACGATTATCAAAGGACTTCGTAGCTAACTAGGTATGTCCATACATATATTTATAAAACCCTGTATTTAATATTGCAAGGTTTGTATGAATCAATTTAATATGAGAAACATGTCGAAAAACTGGTTTCAAATTTACAGGAATTGTGAGATTTTAAGCTAAATTTAAGTTAAGAGAGTCCAACATTCATGTATGTATTAAGTACATATTGCCAGACTTGTTTGTCATGACCCGGTAAACTCAACTCGAACTCATTAACTCATGAGTCAAATGAGTTGACTCGAACTGATTGGCAGTCCTAGAAGTAATGCGTTCTAAATCCAGAGTAAACTTTACTCTTCACCAAGTACCCGTTATGCTGGATTTAGTACCCTCTACCTCATATCAAGTAAAACGTGCTCTTACTACTTTAGTACTTTTCAGAAAATTAAAAAACTTTTCAGACTGAATGTCCCCTAAGGAAAACATGGTTTCCTATATTTTGACTCGGGTCGCCACACGGTTTAAATAGCTCAATATCTAATTTATTTCAGATCACCGCAACAATCTTGTCCCTCATTTTGATCTCGAGTAGTTCAGGATCTTCCAAATTTCCAGTCCGGCTGGAGCAGTTTGACGAGAAAAATGATGCCGGACTCTTGCCCAAATTCGGAAAAGGTTAATAACCGTGTGGGGAGGCAGTATTTTTGGCCGCAAGGTGGATGTCGGAAGTATTCCTGGCATTAGCAGATGGACGTCTTCCTACTCGTGTACTATGTGGCGCATCGCTACGGGAATTTGGGAGATAGACTAGTCGCTTCCACTGTCGACTTGGGACCTGGGACACATTATCCAGCACCTGCTGAGCATCAACTTGTCCCATTAAGAAACTGACAACTTTTCCAGCCATTGTTGATTGTTTTAAAGTAAAAGTTACACAGAGAAAAATAATAATTAAGAATTGCCGTCCCCGAAAAAAAGAAACTCGATATTTCATAATGCACACGTGTATGTTTCACCGAGTAAATGTCCATCTGAGAAATTGATTACATTAAATAATTGCATTGTGATTTTAGGAGTAGGATTAGATACAATTTAATAAATACATATTTGACTAATAAGACGATTACAAACAAACATAAATATTAAACATTTAACCTCAAATCATATTTCCTATTCAAGGAAACGAGCGCGATCCTGTTCCTGCCGTTAATGAGTTGATAAATCCTAAACAATTAGTATTTTCGTTCATGTTTAATGAATTGAACTTGATTAATGAATTTAATTACTTCTAATTACTTACCATAATTGTATTTATAATGGGTGAGTAGAATTATAGTGTTCTCATATTCAACTACATTTTTAACTGACTTTAGAAATTTCATTGTCTGAAAGTGAGTCGTGGTGATTCCGAAGAACGCACTTCAACTCTCTAAAAAATTGCGCATATAAATGTCAACTTTAATACAACTAAATGTCTTTCGCAACTAAAGAAAAGAAATGTGACTTTAATAATTGTATCAGACTTGAAATAATTATGGGTTTGACTACATGTCGCAATTTTTTAGTAATTTTTAGTTTTAATGAGACTTTAACATTTGTAGCTGCTTTGCAACTTTTTTAAACAATTTGTTCATGCTCGGCTTATGTAATACACACTTGAAGGGAAACAATTTTAAACTATAATCACATTGTGGTATAATTTAGTCCGTAATTTAACGCAAGTACTTATAAATTGCAGTGAAAATTCTGTTTATAAATTTAAGCTATTTAAGTATACTAAAATAGCTTAAATTTAACATACATATGTACATGTGTACGTTAAAATACTCACGTACACATATGTATGTACATACATACTAACGTGCGTAGAATGAACAAATGAGCTCAACTCAACTCAACTCACTTAAAAAGAGCTAAGTTTGCCTGAAAATTCACCTCGCCTCAGCTTGTGGCACCACTAGTTTGGAGTAATGGATCTTGGTTTCTATATCCTCGCACACTTACGTTTTAATATTTTAGTTGTAACATTAATAGTTTTAATATTAGTTAAAATGACGATAAAAATAGATACAGAAATTTGCCTGTTATTCAATCTTTTATTGAAAAATTTTATGTACCTTTACTTGAGCATGAAATAAATTTAAATATTAGCGTGTAAGTACAATAAGTAGCAGATATTTAGTGTCTCATATAATATTCACACCTCATAAATTTGTACAAACCATGTTGCCAACACGACATTTCCAACCGATTTCAAAAAACCATGCCTGGGGTCAATCTATCGCTTGGGTTAATATAACGCGGGTCATTCTGACGGGGTCAATACACTCTAAAAAATATTGAGTAAAATATACTCAATTTTGAGTGAAATTGTCACGAGAACAAAAGTTAAAATTTATCCAACTTTGGCAGATTGTTGCTCAACCTTGCGTAAATTTTAACTTTAGCGAGGTAAATTTTACTCAATTGTTGTCTTGGTGGCAATTTCACTCAACTTTTTTTACAGTGTACGACATGAAATCTAATTCTTGTCTTAATCGAACAGCATATTTATTTACCAGATGAAAAACAATAGTTACACAAATTATTTTATTTCCAAGGTGTGCCTGCGACCGCAGTGGATGACCAAGTCTGAAAAGGTGACGAATTTCTCTCCACAAAAGTAACATTCATGCTTCTTGGCATCATGCCGTCGTTGGTGGCAAGCTAAATATTCCTTTGAGTTACTCCTATACTCGCATTTGTCGCAGGAATGAATTTTCTCCTTGTTCGCGGGGTGCACCCCATTCACGTGGCGGTTCAATTTATTTGATGTCGAGAAACTCTTGTCACAAAATGTGCAGGCATAATTTCTCTGATTTTCATGAACATGGCGGATATGCCCGCGTAAAATTAAACCGGTATGGAAAGTCTGCGGACAAAGCGGGCACCTAAAACTTTCTCGTGTCGACTTATCCAAATGTGTCATCTGGAAAATAATTGAATTTTTAGTGAATTTTTTATGTAAGGTATTTATTTACTTATATACCTCGTGCATCCTCAAACCCCCCATTTGTGGGAAACGCCTCCCGCAAGTGGCACAAGTATGCGTCTTCTCGGTCGTATGGGTTAAAATGTGACGCTCAAGATTTGACCGGCATTTAGTTTCTATCCCGCAAAGTGCGCACCGAAATCGGACCGGGTTTTCGGCATGTTCAGTACTCACATGTTGGGAAAGATTGCTCTGGTTTGCGTAGGTTTTCTCACAGGCGGGAAACGTGCATGGGAAACGGGGTCGTTCCACCGATGCGTGCATGGAGTCCATGTGCCCCCGTAAAGAGTAGGAATTGCAAAACGTCTTATGACAAAGTTCGCAAGTGGGACGGGTTTGGGAGCCGTGAACAGTTTTCATGTGGCTCGCCAAGACGACCGGGTTTTTCGAAATTTTCCCGCAAATCTAAGCAATACATTTGTACGATTGAATTTGTAAATTCGAGTTCAAAATCAAACTAACCTAACCTGAGCAATATATTTGGATGATTGACCTTGTAAAGTCACAAATTGCAATCTCACCTCGCATTTCACCTTCGCATAGGGATCGTGTGTGATCACGTGTCTATTGAAGTGATGCTTGTTTTTGAAGGTTTTCGAGCACGTGGGGCATTCCCATTTCTTCAGATCCATCTGGATTTCGTAATAGAAAAAATCTACTTATTTATTGAATTGAATTGAATTGAAGTTTTATTATACTGACTAGTATAATACTGACTGTAGTAGTACAAGAAATACCAAAAATTTACGTTTAACACTAAAACTTAACACGAATTAAAAATTTCGCTCGTAAAATCCTGAAAAATGAATATTTGTGTCAGCTAAAAATCCAATCGTGTTTTGTTTTACTGCTTAGAGTTTTAAGAGTGAGAAGTGAATGGTCGGAAAAAGGTGATGGTTTAACCTTGGCTTTTGTAAATATGCGTGTGAAACAGCCTTTTCGCCAGTCACCATTTTATAACAGTAGCCAGCCACGTTTTGAATGCGAGCGTGTGATGACCACCTTCTGAGAATTTGGACCTTCCCTCCACGCACTGAACGGTCTCCCTCATGCTCAATTAACACCTGAAGGACTGGACTTTCAATTAGTTTTTTAATTGTCAATTAGTCAGCAAAAATTAAACTAATTGAATTAGAATTTTCAATTATCTCTCATAAACTAATTGATTTTCAATTACCAATTACTAATTAATTAGTTTTACAGTTTCCAATTAGTTAATAGAATTTGCCACAAAGGGGAGAAAAGTTTCATGGCGCAAATATAATGCTACTTAAAATTTTTTCAAAAAAACTGCAAGGCATTGCCAGTGTTTAAACTATTTTCATATGCATAAGATTATAGTTTTGGAACACCATTTTATACCTCACTCAATGTGGCTTGTCACAAAAATGGAAAATGACCTAAACGTTTGACACAAAAAAGCTACGGTCACAAGTTAAACCTGTTATTAGATGAACTATGAGGTATGTATGTATGTATGTCTTTATTGCATAAATGGCCAGTAGCCCTTGCAAATCGCAATCTTCCATTATTTACAAAATTTGTAGAGAAATAAGTGTCATAGGTAGTCAGAGCAAAGATCAAAATATTTGGAGACATTAATCCAGAATAGAAATATATTGGAATAGAATTTTGTGTGGTCATTTGGAGTATAATTTAGGAGGTTGATGAGCTTTTCATGGGGGTTACAGTTGTTGTCAGTAATATAATTGTTGATGAAGATGTGGCGTTCGTTGTTTAGTGGTCGACATTCAAACATGTAATGTTAGACGCTATTTGGTGAGTGTGAGGTGCACAAATGGCATCTTGTTTCGAGTTTTAAGTAATGTGGTCCGATTTTGATACTAAACCTGTTTAGTCTAAGGAGGGGTGCTTCACATTTGTGACTCACCGATCGCCTCCAAATTTTTACACAAGTTATTACTATGTGGGAGAAGGGTACATCTCGCGCCTTTTGATGCCATGGCCACAAATACGGTCGTGAGGTCGATTTGAAATCTTAAATTTTACCTATTTTACGGTCAAAACTGCGATGCTTGCCAATTCTTTAGGTTTCAATTTTTTTTAATTCTATCTTCACTGATTTTCTATATATATTGTAATCCTTATCAGGTTTGTCATGCGACCCCCATGTGTCCCATCTAGATGGGGCGTGGTTAACCACACCCAACTTTTTAACACCAGCATATTCGATATGGGTATCGTTTAAAAGATATTTTCAGCAGCTTTCCAATGATATATAGCATGACAGGTCTGTGATCCTCCCCCTGACCTGGGGGTGTGGCACTGGTCAAACATCAGGAATTTATATATGCAATTACGACAACATCTTTCCAATGTTTTGATCTTGGAAAACATCAATTATTTCTAGAAAATCATTGCTGTGGGACTGGCTGCCATCAATTGGGCGTGATTTTTTCGTGTACATATGATGCTACCGCTATTTCTCAAATTCATCCCAACGATACCCGTGCAATTTTTCCATACTCTAAGGATTATATTAATTAATTTGACTGAAAATTTTAATTTATTTCTTTGTTTTCTGGTCATTGATTTGGTACTGAGGGTTTTTTACCATTTTTAGCCCGAACCTGGGCTTATGTACCCGTTCTGTCCGTCTGTCTGTCCGTGTTGCGATAACTCAAGAACGCTTTGGCCGATTTGGATGAAATTTGGAAGAAATGTGCATCTATGGAGTGTGACGTACTGTATAGTTTTTGGGGTTGATCGGCCAAGTGGTTGACCGGTGGGGGTCATATGAGTGGGTGGGGTATTATGCACCAAAATTTCAAAATTGTCGTAGAAAGCTGAAACTTGGTACAAAGCTTGTTTTGGGGGCCTAATGGAAGGGGATGAAATTAAATCGACCAAATTTTTATCTGGAGGGACCCTATTGGGTGACCCACACTGATTTTCCAAAGTCGTCTAAACGAGCTGAAATTTGGTACTGAGGGTGCTAGGGGCTTCTAATGAAAGAATATGAAGTGAAATTGAAAAATTATTCAACCGAAGGTACGTTATGGGCTGACCCATACCGATTTTTCGAAATCTTTTAATCGAACTGAAAATTGGTACAAAGGTTGATAGTAGCTCAATATGGAGGAATATGAAAACAAATGGGAAAAAAATTCAACTTGAGGGTCCAGTGGGGGTGACCCCTACCGATTTATAAGCGTCGATTTTTAGAATTTGGGGTCAAGTATTTAAGACTAAGAATTGACGCTAAATGCAATATAGTACAAATTATAGTACAATACAGTACTAATTTTATAGGAAACTATTGACAAAAATGGGTTTACTAATCAAACCAGGTTCGGGCTAAGCAAAGCTGTACTGGTAGGTTATTTACCTCTACCAGGGTTTATTATGTCTGTCTGCCTGTCTCACGATAAATCTAGAACGCATTTACCGATTTGGATGGAAATTGAGAGAAACTTACATCTGAAAAATTGATTAACCGAGTCGAATGATAAACCAAGTGTTACGCACATACAGTTATATCAAATAACTTATACATATGTCGTTAAAACTTTTAACTTTTACAGTGTTAAGGTTGTACTTGTTTTAACGGTTAGACAAAGTTATGTCCTTTGAAATCGTCCACACGGTCCTGCAGTCATCAAGGGTCGAAATGGTAGTGAGTTAGGAAATTGCCGCCCAAAACTTAAGTCTAAAACTGCCAAAACTAGAAATTTGACATGTTAACCTCATGGCCCATATGATCTATCAATGAACTCGTCGATTAAAATTACATGTATTCGATAAAATAGAGTAAAAAAGATGACCCGTTCGCAAGTTAACGGTAGAACGGATGAATATACTTAACAATGTGAAGGAGGCTTCAACCATTAATACTACTCGTCCGTTTTGCTCAAAAATTTTGAAAAATTTCGGTCATTGAAATAATTAATTCAAGCCTTTAGATTTGAGTTCTGCAAAATTGGATGGGTATTGTTAGGGTAAATTTAACCGAAATGCTGTATATTATATAATTGTACGCCAAAAGTGGCACACCCCCTTGGGGTCAGCCACTCCCACAAATTATTTTCAGGCCAGAATTGATCCTAAGATCCAACAATTGAAAAGCTGTTGTCGCAAGCACATGTATAAAAAGATAATATAAAAATTCCTGATATTTGACCAGTGCCACACCCCCAGGTCAGGGGGAGGATCACATACCTGTCATGCTAAATATCATTGGAAAGCTGTTGAAAATATCTTTTAAACGATACCCATATCGAATATGCTGGTGTTAAAAAGTTGGGTGTGGTTAGCCACGCCCCTTCTATATGGGACACATGGGGGTCGCATGACAAACCTGATAAGGATTACGATATATATAGAAAATCAGTGAAGATAGAATTTAAAAAATTGAAACCTAAAGAATTGGCAAGCATCGCAGTTTTGACCGTAAAATAGGTAAAATTTAAGATTTCAAATCGACCTCACGACCGTATTTGTGGCCATGGCATCAAAAGGCGCGAGATGTACCCTTCTCCCACATAGTAATAACTTGTGTAAAAATTTGGAGGCGATCAGTGAGTCACAAATGTGAAGCACCCCTCCTAAGTTTAGTAGCAAAGAGTTGAACTATATGAATGGGTAGGATGTGGCTGAGGTAAAGGGGTCTGGATGCGCCAGTTTGCAAGCATTGATAATGGGGGATGAAGGACGAGTTCCTGCGCCTTTCAAGGTCTTGTGCAAGGAGTTCGGCTGCGTATTTGGCGACCATGGAGTTTCGTACTGCAGAGATGGTTGTATGGGAGAGAAGGTCTTGAGTTCCGAGATCTGCCAAATTTTTGATAGCTGGGATGATCCTGGTTGCCCAGCAATATTTATTAGCTCACCCTGCGTAGCACGGGAGCTATTGATTCCTCTTGTCCGTCTGTCTGTCTGTCTGTTCACGAGGTTTTTGCATCAATTGATGCTAATTAATTTGCCCCATGTGCAAATTTTTGCAAATTAGTAGCACCATTGGTCTCGAACAGTCGGTAACACAAAATGGTGCCAAACAATTGAGAACATAGATGCAAAACACTCCAAACGTGCATAAGAACCGAAAAAATAACTAGAGTTTTTACTTCCAATTTGTCACGATTTTATGTCAAAATTATGGATGCATTTTCCTCGTTTATTTTCCACCATTGATGGAAAATTATACCACAATTATGTGTATCTTTTGTCCGCCCATCCTGCACCATTAATACAAAATTATGCCAAAATTGTGTATCCATTTTATCTGCCAATTCTGCACCATTGGTGCAAAATTATGCTAAAATCACTATTACAGGGTGAGCTACTTCTAACGTTACAACGGTTTATTGTATTGGAGGAGTGCCACTTGATCTGTTGTTGTAGGCAAATATAAGGCAGTGTGTGGGGGGGGGGACGTTTCGCGGTGCGGATCCAGAAGTCGATGGTGGTTTTAAAGGTTTGGAGTTCTACCTTGGGGACGCCAGCTAGCATTCTGCAGAAGTAAGCTGGAGACGACGGTGGTAGGCGGAAGAGTTTTCGAATGAAGGTTGTTTGGGGTTTCTCAAAAATTTTTTCCAGACCCCACGCCCATAGTCCGGCAGCATAGAGAAGTATGGACTTGACAAGGGCGTTGTAGAGTTTAAGGTGAGTGTCGACTGGTGGGACGCCGCTCTTCCTACAAATGGTCCAGACATTTGTTGTTGCTGCAGCTACCTTCGCTCGGATTTCTGAAAAGTGAGTGGAAAAGGAACAGTTCGGTGTAAAAATTACTCCTAAGTATTTGTAGGAGTTAACGATTTCGAGAGGTTTCTTGTCCTAGTAGAACTTCAATTGGTCAATGAGTTAGTTGGGTTTACTATGAGGTATGTATGTATTAGATGAAGACCACGTTCCATTTTATGGAAAGACGGACAGAGTGCAGGGATCAATCAGAACTAGATATATTATATAAGTGCAACTTCATGGCAGTTGATTTCATCGCTCAAATTTTCATCATTATGACTGGAATGCAGTTTCGGAACTAATTGAAATTCATATTTTTTAATTAATTAACAATTAGCAAATTTTGAAAATCTAATTAATTAGAATTGATTTTAAAACTTAGTCGATTAGATTCAATTGAAACCAATTATTTTCAATTAGTAATTGGTAATTAGTTTTAAGATGCCAATTAATTAGCTAATTAATTAGAAAACTAATTAATAAGTACATCCCTGATCAACAATGCAGAAAATCCATCCAATATTGTTGAAATGTCAGCTATTTGAAAAAAAATGTGAAAAATGATTTGAGTTTGAATCATAGAGCTTAAAGCAAAGAGACCGCTAGTTGGGAAAAGGTGGCCAAATTAGAAGGAAGAAATATGGGGAAATATGGGGGATAATAGGGAGATTGCGCTACTATGGTGTTTGCCTCATAGATTTGTAGATATATATAGCTAGATGTCTCACTGTTTTCCTTTGTTGAGATAATAAGGAGGGTACAAATTTAACTCATAGTAGGTACACAAATTAAACTTTTTATTACCGAAAATTTGAATAATGTATGTAGTTAACTTATTATTTACATCCGTTTTTCCAAACAAAAAAATATAAAAGTAATATCAACAATTCTTCAACAATTATCAACTCCTTGTACAATATTCAATCAGAACCCCTTGTGCTGAGTTAATTTATTTAATTCGTGTCGGTTGGAAATAACCTGCGACTTCGTTTAGCATAATCATACAGTCTAATTTTTAAAAAATGCCCAACAACTTTTTTAATCAAAACTGACAAATGCCCGTCTTCTGAAAACGGGTCGAAGTCTAGCACGTGAGAATTCAGTTGAGGAAACAAGTTCATATTTAGAGTATCTTTCAAAACGGCAATACAGACTTTTAAATCTATATTTTTTACATTTACTGGACCAGAACAGTTTTAGACAAACAAGTTTCCAACAGTTTTCAAATTCTGGATAAATTGTTCGTGGAATTTTTCGTCGGAAGTTTTCTTTTCAATTTTGCACAAATTCATTAGTTTCAGTTTTATCGAAATCTATAAAATATATCACTCTTTGTAAATAGTGACAAAATTCGAAATTCAAAAAACTATACTAATTTACAAAAATGTATCTGCCACTCTCCCACACAATGTTTCTCTCAACAGGAATATTTTTGTAGTGCCGCTTCCCAAGAAGTAGGACAACTTTAATCGACAAAAATGACTTTTTATGAGATACTTAAGACAAATTTTAGAAATTATTAATAAAAATTCATTAAACTCGATGCATATAATAAATCACTTGTGGTCCGTGTAAAAACACTGACAATGGAACCTCTTGTCAACATACGTGTTCAACAAAAAATTGTTCATTCAAATATTCATTCATTCATTCAATGATGCATTTATTCATTCATTCATTCATGCAATCAATGATACATATATTCATTCATTCATTCATTGGAAGGAGTGTTCATCGCACTTTGCTTTACCTACCAATATGTAGCATTCAGACGAAGAGTTGATTAACATGAAATTGAGCAAACGTCGTACTAAATTGTAAAAAAATCAAACTAAATACTTCGCTAAGCCAGTGCTATGTTCCAAATTATTTTATTGCCAATTAAACACAATTTAGAAACCCCAACTAAACCCGTCCTGTAGAATCCATCAATTTAATTTTGATTCACAAACTTGACAAACGAAGCCGTTGACCGGTCCCCACTATATTGCTTCTCAGATTCCTCTCCATCCTTGTACAGAAGAAAAGTCGGATAACCTCGAATCTTTTGATCAACCTGTACATAAAATACAAATATCTCATAACATAAATGCAACAATTGTCCAGTCTTTAACAACTATGTATCTTCAAGTTTCATACCACAGAAGAATTCTTAGAACTGCAATCCACCGCTGCTACAATTTTAGCTCCTTTAATATTCAATTTTTTGGCCGCGCCTGCATAATCCTTCTTGCACTGTTGACAAAATCCACACCCAGGATGATAGTACATGACAAATACTTTTGGATTCTCTTGAATAAAGGTGTCATGATTTTGGTCGGTCAGTTCGTAAATAAGTTTGCCTCCACTCACACCTGCCCAAAAGGATGCGTCTGAGAAGGCAGATGTCAGAGTGTCCCTAGGAGAACAGGTTTTGTCAATATTAGCCCCTGTCTGGCAAAGGGCGAGGGCACAAAGTAGAAAAATAGCGAAAAATTTCATGGTTTTAGTAACAACTTGTTTCCTCGGAGAATAAGACAAGTATGAGTTCCTGGGTCGAGGGATGTGCCGTTTTTAAAGGGGATCACTTAACCACAAACTGGGAATCTGTTTGAGTTTTATGTAATTCACATATGTGGAATTATGTTATTATCAGAAATGGCCTACAATTCTGAGAAATTAATTGACATATTTATTGTTATAGTTTCTGACTATTACTTGCCTCTCTCTGTATGATAGACAATTTGTGGTATAATGGAATAGTTTTTTATTACTGTGGAAACTTTTTTAATTGACTTAGTGGAGTTGAATTTATTTGATGAAGATGTTTATGCAATATGAGATGCTGATGATAAACTTGGTTAAACGACTAGGTGTAAAAATAGGTGCACATATACGATTAATTGGTACCGCTAAACAAACATAGCTGTAATGTGCAAAATGAAATAAATCTTTCCAGTTTATTACGAAATCATTCTGACGGTAAGCAGAATCTTGATAATTTAATAACCTTGTAGTATTTCCTAAAACTGATCAAGTGATGCACAATGGGACAGGTGACCAAAAATGTGGCCATTAAGGTAGTACGTTGAATTGGCTACTATCATGTACTATTGTGGACTACACTACCATGTTGTCCAAAGTGCATAATATTTAATTAAAAGTTGCACCCACTCCGGAGCATACCTGTTCACATTCATTCAATTAACAGAAAATGAATGAATGATGAAGGAATATTTTTTTCAAAATTGTGAATGAATGAATGAGTGAATAAATATTATGTTCAAATTTTTGAATGAATGAATAAATGTTTCATTCAAATTTTCGAATGAATAAATGAATGAATATTTTAGTCAAAACAGCATATAAAGTGCAGAATAAAGATAAAGAGCACAATGAATTAAAATAAATCGTAATTCAGTGTCCCCGTATTTGAGATTTCAATTATCACGTTGCCCCAGCCTCTTCGACTTTGTGTAGACAAAATGTCGATAAAACATGTGGCACAATATTAAGTAATTTAATATTGTGCATGTTATTTGCAATTTCGCAAATTTCGAAAAAAATAATTAATAAATATGAGGAAATGAATGAATGAATGAATGAATGAATGAATGATTGATTGAATGAATGATTGAATGAATGAATGAGTGAATAAATGAATGAATGAATGATTGAATGATTGAATGAATAAATGAATATTCAAATACTACATGCCAATGAATGAATATTTGAATGAATAATTTTTGGTTGAACACGTATGCTCCGGTGCACCAGGGAGGTAAGCTTTACATTGTGGAGATAGAGAGAAAAGCCCTTTAGCCTGTTCGTCCATTTCCGCGCTTTTTAAACTTGCAACTTATAGCATTCCACATCGGCTGGTGTGGAGAATAAATGCTGGTGCCGGAAACTGCCACTTTCAACCACAAGTCAAACCACACCCCTTTCTAGTCACATACATAGAGACACGTATTAGACTCGGTGGAGTGAGGGTTGGAGCTACTCTCTGCTCCGTAGAACATGAAACGTACTTATTAATCAAGTGGGTGCTTTATACTCATTGTTAATTACTTGTGGTTGAAAGCCATTTATATTTCTGAAATAACAGAACTTGTCAATTGTCTATTTGAAAAAAACTACTCTAAGTTATAATAATTTTAATTTATTTTTATTTACTTATACCTGTATATTGCAAGATATGTTAAAATTTGAAATTTTGAAAAAATAAGATTAATTGAAAAACACGATATGTAATTATTAAAAATTACGATGGTGCGGTTTGAGATAAATTATTTTGTCAATTTCGTCCCCTCGCTCATTGCACCGTGATTTTGGTCTGCTTGGGATGGGGACACGTCCCCATACTCCCGCGGGAGTATGGCAAACTAAAATTTTGCGTTTTCATGAATGCGCGCGGTTACGCTTTTGGCGGAATTTTTAAGTAGTTTTTCAGTCAAAATCTGTTTGTTTTTTCCAAAACGCTCCAACTTTTTCAATTGTAACCCGATTTCTAAAATCGAAGAATATGTTTGCTTAGAATAACTTCCGTGAATTTATAAAAATCCATTTAAAAAAATTTTAAAAAATTTGAAATTTTCACCCTACTTGGAATTTTGACAAATTAAAAAAAACCTGAAATTTTGGAAAATTTAATGTTTTTAAACAGTTGAATTTTTAAAAATTACTTACAGTGATTCTAAGCAAACATGTTTTCGATTTTGCAAACCGGGGGGGGGGGGGGAATTCAATTCGAAGATAAGCACGGCGTAAGCATAGATTTTGAACCAAATTTCATGCTTACGCCTTGCGTAAATTACAATTGAATTAGGTTTAAATTGACAAAATTGGAGCATTTTGAAAAAATCAAATTTTGGCTGAAAAACTATTTAAAAACTCCACCAAAGACGTAAACGCTCGCATTCAAGAAAACACAAAAATACGAGTCGGCTTATTTCCTAGTGTGAACAATTTAAAATTAATCCGGTCAAAATCGGAGAGTTACACTTGACGCCTTGTTAGTGGATAGAAAGTTAAGTTGAGGACATCAGGTACGTGCACCATATCACGCCACAAGGTCACAATTTCACTTGTGTTCTCGCGTTCCAGGTGCCATCCAACAATCACCAAGACTACATGAATGAATGAATGGTTTAACCATTCATTCATTCATGTAGTCTATGGGTATCGCCGAAAAAGAGTTAAATAATTATTAATTATTTAACTCTTTTTCGGCGATACCCATAGAGTTGCATTTTAGTTTTTTATAAGTAATATTAATAATAATTATAACTAAATAAATAATTAACCTTTAGGATCCTATTTGAAAATTGTTGTCAAGAAAAATCGTATCTCTAACAAGGGAACCTTAAGTACTGTCCACTCTCGATTTCCTTCCGAATAGTCTTAATCGATAGATAATTTAGTGCAAAGGAAACTTTGTCATAGAACATGCGGTGCAAAATCGCGTTTTCGCGAAATATTTAGCAATAGCTGCACCAAAACCTGCAATTTTTCCAATGCTATTAACATAGGCCACAGCGATCGGATTCGATGAAATGATGAAGTTTCTAGATTAAATATGGATAAATTATGTCAATGGGTATGCAATTTAATGCGGATCACGAATATGCAAAAATGATGCAAAAAGTTGCCAATTTTTTGCAAATTGCGAAAATCTGCGAAAATTCCAAAATTATAATGTTATCGTTTTATTTGAAATTCGGACTAAATTTAAAAATTTAACTCTTTGTACAAACGATTTAAAGAAATATAAATATTTTACTTTTTTGCAAAAAAAACTCCAAAATTTACAGAAATTGGAATTTATAACGTGGAATGAGAGAAACATGTCAACCTATGAAGATTTTAAAATTGTTGGAAATGCGGACTTTTTTAACTTGCGAAAAAATTTTGAAAGTTCTTATGAGCTTTCTTTCCTGCGTAATATTTTTCTCATGCAAAGCTATGAATTCCAACTTCTAAAAATTTTCATTGAATTTTTTGCAACATAAGAGCAATTTTTAACTTTTTAACAACTTTTTTCATCAATATTGTTAAGTGTAGAATTGATGAACTGGTAATGTTGGGATTTTATACAAATAATCCAAAGAACGAAAGTTGCACATTCTCTGCGAGACTGTATTTAGGTGGTGAATAATAATAATCGCGTCTCACATTCCCGTGTGTAAGTTAAATGTACTGATTTATTTAGTTCGAAAGGTTGTTTCATGATCACACTCAACTCGCAACTGCCCGAGTCCTGGACCATTCGGGCTAACTAAACTAAAGTGAATTAATTAAAAGGCAACTATTCTACATTATCATCCATAAAGTTATGTGTGTGTGTCGTCTTTACATAATTATCGTAGGTTATTTCAAAGACAACAAGATTACATCATTGGATTTAATTAGACGCTTGGAGTCACAGTTCCATGATTTAATAAAGAAAGAGTGTTTGCGGATTAAATGCTGATTGTGCAAAAGAACAGGATGTCAAACGATTTTTTCTGCTTATTAAACAGGTTTAAAGTAAGGGGTTAAACGTTCGTTCAGTCAGGAGACACAGTAACTCATTTTGATACGACGTGTGTTATTGCTTGATTAAGTGGAGGAGTTGGAGTTGAAGATGGACATGACTTACACGGCTTGCTTTGCTTATCTGTAGCTAACTCGTTGTCCTTGCTGACTCACAGGTTATTAACACACGATCACAACGTTCGCTACTCACATGCTTAAAACTAAGATTATGCACTACAAATAAATAAATGTACTAAATTGGGGTCCTAACAATATTCAAGTATCGAGAAATTTGCAGATTTTCGCAGTTTGCAAAAAACTAAGCAAACTGTCAATCAAATTTTTTTGCAATGTGGAACAATCCACATTTCCAACAATTTTGAAAAAGTCGTAAAAGTAGACATGTTTCTCTCACTCCAAGTTATGAATTCCAACTTCTGAAAATTTTGTAGTTTCTTTTTGCAAAAAAGTAAAATATTTATATATTTGTTTAATCTTTTGTGCAAAGAGTTAAATTTTTAAATTTAGTCCGAATTTCAAATAAAACGATAACATTATAATTTTGGAATTTTCGCAGATTTTCGCAATTTGCAAAAAATTGGCAACTTTTTGCATCATTTTTGCATATTCGTGATCCGCATTAAATTGCATACCCATTGACATAATTTATCCATATTTAATCTAGAAACTTCATCATTTCATCGAATCCGATCGCTGTGGCCTATGTTAATAGCATTGGAAAAATTGCAGGTTTTGGTGCGGCTATCGCTAAATATTTCGCGAAAACGCGATTTTTCACCGCATGTTCTATGACAAAGTTTCCTTTGCACTAAATTATCTATCGATTAAAACTATTCGGAAGGAAATCGAGAGTGGACAGTACTTAAGATTCCCTTGTAAGTCCCAAATTAATTCCCAATTAAATATCCTTTAAGTCAGGTGCTCTCACGCACCTTAGCTGATTAATCTTTTCCGACCACACTGACCCGAATTTTATTTTCAACAAAAAACAATTGGAATATGTTCATATCATAAAATGCAATGATAATCCGCAAGAACTACTGCTCATATACAAACACAATAAATACGAACAAAAATCTTAGTACAGCTTTACATAGCCCGAGTCAGGGCTTATATAGTATGCATTTGTCATGTCTGTCTGTCGGCCTGACCGACTAAATTCAAATTTTGCACAGTTGTGAATAAGGTAAAAAAAATACAGGCTGAGTTCGTAAGTGAGCTAAATCGATCGAGTGGTTGACCTGATAGGGTCAGTAGGAGGAATATTTCGCATAAAAATTTCGAAATAGTATTGGCACGCTATAACTCGTAACGCAGAGTTCCAGTGGTTTGTAAAGACTCGGAGAATAAATTGAAAAAATTGACCATGGGGGTGCCAGATGGTGACTCACACCGATTTACCGAAGTGTCTTTACAGAATGAGTATGGGCCCTTCTGCCTCCGGTTGCGTTTTGTTCTTCACATTTTTTCAAAGCGATCTCAAAGCCAAATTTGAGATTTCTAAGACAATTTCTACAAGTTTTTCTCATAGTTACTAATTTTATTTTTTTCTACCAATTTCAAAAACCAGGGTTGGGTCCCAGAGTAAAAAACAACCTAAGGTTTGGATTTTTGGATGATTTTTACTCGTATTTGTAATTCTGGTATCCCTGTAGGGTCACGCCAAATTTGAGTCTTCTACGACCATTTTGGAAAATCAGTGAGTGTGACCCTATTGGGTCATTCTAAATAATAATTTCGGCGTTAAATAGGACATTGAATTTTTATTTTAGTACACTTATATGACAAATGTCCTGAATATAAGCTTTCTACGACACACTCTATGACCCCACCCGACCCCACTGGTCAACCACTTGACCGATTTGACTCTTCTTCAAACTTATCTCCTCATTTTCCCCATACTACACGTGTACCAAATTTCAAGTCGATACGACCAGTTTAACGAGAGTTATCGTGAGGCTGGATGGACAGACGGACATGATGGGTCTATAAACCCTGACTCGGGCTAAAAAGCAAAGGTAGCTCCGAAACCCTTCAATTTCCATAGTCGCTAAATTTATTTATTTTTTTAAAAATACACATACTTTTTGTATACGGGACTCAACGGATTTTTTCGCATGTCCATGACATCCGTGTATCTGGGACACAAGGTCAAATTTCAAAATTCCATGACATTCGTGGAATTGGGATTTGAGGGATGTTTTACAATTCCATGACAGTCATGTATATGGGATTTAAATGGGAATTTAATAAATTCCATGACATTCGTGGACTGAGATCCTAAAGGTTAATTGAGTTCATTTTCCTTTATATGCTTATATACGTGAGCCGATACTAAATATAGATATATCATGAGTGAATCAAAAGCTTTAAAGGATTTCCCCAAATTCTTAAGGGATGCATGAATCAATATTTATTCGCATTAACTGACTACGTTTAAAAATTTTGACAAATGGGCAAACAAAAATTGATACATCAACGTAATGACGCTTGTATGCTCATTCTCCGATTACATAAGAGAAACAACTACGTTTTGTTTACATAATTCCAAGAAGAGTGAATAATCTTTAATTCGGACAGCAAAACCATCTTTTGTTCGGCAATGTAATTGGCCCGACTCCCGGCCTATTCAAAGATAACTCACAGTATTTTTCCCCGTCGGGATGTTCCACTCCATGAAACGTTTGTCTATCTGGTTTTACCCACTGATCGCATTTCTGTCCGCAAGGTGACCATTCGCAAGTTGGCGTACAACATAAATCCGAGTGCTGAAGTCCGAGCGGTCCACACGAATCCCGCGCCACAAACATTGTCCGACCAGATCCACCAGTTAGTTCAGTCGCGCATTTTGCATGAAAGCCGCATCCAGACCATGCGCAACTTCCGACTATAATCGACAAAATTATGAAAAATTATTATTAACTCAATATGAGCCAAATACATCACCCCTGTTCACCTTCATCCATTTCAATTATTATCATAGTGAATGAAAATGAATTTTTTACTACTTGAATGCAAATAACTGAAAGATTTCCTTGTTTTGGAGCGAATTGAAATGAATGTGGAAGAAAATCTTCAGTCGGAAATTGGGATGATCGATTTTTAAATTAGATAAATTTTTTGTAACGTAGTCGTACACACACACTCTAAATAAAGTTGCGTTAATGTCGCGACTGGTTGTGTAAAATTTGTCCAACACCCCGCTTAACCTTCAGTAAAATTAAGGCTAAGTTGAGCTAAAGTTCTAGAATAAGTTAATCACAACCAGTTGTGCAGTCGCGGCTTTCACTCAACTTTAAGTGAATTTTGCAGATTAAAATTTATTTAGTGTGCAGATTAGATAGACGCACGCATATCTTGTAACGTACCCCCTAATACTTCCCGATGGATTTCCACCAACACAAAGATGGAAATTGTTAGCAGAATTTTATTTTTCCCCATTTCAGACTGAAATTAATATCGGAATGTATTTAACCTTTTAAGCATTTACATTTTATAGTCGAAAATGGGGAATGAACTTTGACCATGAATGTCATGGAGAAAAATTTTACACCAAGTTTCCTAAACCATGGTGTTCATGTCATATTTTTTACACATCGAAAGACCAAAACCATGTTAGTCATGGTCGCAAAAATTTGCATTGCAGGACCAATACCATCAAAGTCATGGCGATTGTTTTTGCAAGAAAATACTTTGACCATGACATACATGGAAGTCGAAAATAATAATTTCCACAGCTTTTTAGCCCGAGTCAGGGCTTATGGAACCGTCATGTCCGTCCGTCCGTCCGTCCGTCCGTCCGTAAACAGGATAACTCTCTTTAAACACAAGCTACCGACTTGAAATTTTTACCATGTGCATATTGGACAAAGTTAGGAATCGAGTTCGAAGATGGGCGAAATCGGTTAACTGGTTACCCGGTGGGGGTCATCTGAGTGGGTGGGGTCTTATGCACCAAAATTTCAAAATTGTCGTAGAAAGCTGAAATTTGGCACAGAGGTTGCTAATGGCTCCTAATAGATAAAACCTACAGTGCAGACTCCATATAGCCCGAGTCAGGGACATAGTCCCTGACTCAATAAGTCAGAGCCCGCTTCTAAATTTTTTTCCGAATTGACCAACATGATATCACCAACTTCCGTGTTGTGGATGGTTAAAAGTTTGTTAGATAGTTTCTATTATTTGGTCCCAAATTTTTGAGCAAGTTACAGATCATGTGTCTTGACCACCATGACCAGTGGGCTTCTTTAACATCCTGAAGCTCTAAGCTGTATGTATGTGCTATCCAGCAGTGGTTTTCAGCCTCCATATCAAATTTCAGCTCGATATAATGATTTTGAAAAATCAGTATGGGTCACCCCATAGGGTCACTCTGGTTGCACTTTACTCACTTTTAACTTCATATTCTTTAATTAGAAGCCATTAAGTACCATTGTGCCGGATTTCATTTTTTTAAAGTAATTTCTAAAACTCAGTATGGGTCACCCCATAGGGTCCCTCAAGATTAAAATTTTTCCAACCTGAAGTTATTTTTTTCTATTAGGAGCCATTAGCAACCTCTGTATCAAATTTCAGCTCTCTACAACAATTTTGAAATTTTGGTGCAAAATACCCTACCCACTTATATGACCCCCACCGGTTCAAAACTTTTCTGATCGAACCCATCTTCTAACTCGGTCGTTGCATTGCCCAGATACATGTCCGCACCAAATTTGGTCAAAATTGGTTAACTCGTTCGACAGTTCGACTGACATGACAATTACATAAGCCCTGGTTCGGGCTAAAAATCACGACTCGAGAAAAAGTCAGTCTTTGGATGTAATCCGAATATTTTAACGTTGCGATGTGATTAAAAGTCGACAATAATTACTTAATAAATTTCGTAAAAAATTGATATGTGTAACTAAGGACGGATCTTTTTAATTGTTGTGTTTTCGTCCGGCACTTCTGAAAATTGTTCGCCATGACATACATGGTCAAAATGCTTAAAAGGTTAATCATGTAGATACATAAGAGGGATACACGAATGCAGTAGAAATTCTACTGTAGAATTGTGAAGAATCTCACAATTTATACCCACTTTTACGTAACATATAATGAAAATTGTTGCCTACTAATAAATATTATAATTCATGGTTTTGAAATCTAATCAAATTATATAAAAGATAATTCATGACATTTGTATATACTTCCAAGAACTGACAAATGGAAAGAAATTTGTCATCCCAAACCTGCTCACGTAACAAATCTATATTGCTAATTGATATGCAAATTTATTTGTTCAACACGGAATTACACTTATATACGTATTTAGGTCAGATTTCGCGAAATTCTATAATTTATGTTGACATAACAAGCCGAACTTTATTCCATCCATGTGACCCTAACAAAAGGAATGAGTGCGCCACAAATTCTATGAAATCATTACCCATTGAATGTGATTCATGGTGCAGATTTACTTTTTTTGGTTTACTTCTAAAAATCCATCTGGAATTTGGAGGTTAAAGCCTCGTGACATTAAATTAACGCAATCAATATTTAATATTTCCGAGAAAACTTGTTGGACCAAGTAATGCTCATCATTATAACGCCACCCACCAATAAAAGTGTTATGACTTATATTGTATAATCTTATGTATGTATGTATGCTTCGTTGATTGATATCATGTTTGGCTTATGTTCAATGCCAAACATGCAATTTGTTTAGGCACCTACCCTACATCAAAATAACGCTTACACAATCTGCATTTGGGTACCTCTGATATTTGTTACTTAATAGCCAACCAATAAATTCTTTCATCAACAAAAATATCTATCACGGAGCTTTAATTATGTAAAGCTAATGTAAAAAAATATAATTATACATGTAGATGAGTATTAGTGACGTGCACATAGAATTTTTAAGATACATGCATAGTGTATAATACGTATTGGCCAACTAAATAGTATTCTGTAATCGAAAAATATGCTATTTTTGAACATCTACATAGATTAGTACGATGCAAACTTTTGAAACGTAAACATCTAATATCGTATTTGTATGGCATCGAAAAATAAATGTTGTAATCATTATATAATAAATTGCAGTTAGCATTTAAACTTTTAAAATGTTGAACTTGACTCCTTATCTGAGACCACTACTGTTTGATGTATATACTTACTTATATACTAAGTAGACACTTATGTACAACTTACATGTCAGGCCAACCTGCATATTTAAATATTTAGGTAATAAGTAAGTTTACTGGTACTTAGAAGTTTAAGTGGTAACTCCAGTAAAGGGTAGTAAACACACATTGCAAACTTAAGTATCTTATAGGTCGTTCCCTTAGGAATTTCGGGCATCCCTACTGTACTCGCTACAGTGTGGTCAGTGGACAGCAAAGTACGATTATAGTAGCAGTGTTTATATATATATATACATAGATCCGCCTATAAACTAAGTACTTGTGAAACGTGTGCCTAAACAACTACCACAAAACTTAAACTCCACAACCATAATTGGCCGAACCTACGTAGCTCTTTAACATGTCGTTAAAGCACTTAATTTTTGTCCTGTGTTCTACTCTGTTGTTATATTACTCTGAGTGTTCGAGCATTTGGGGTGACATCTTTCTTGATGCCGACTTGACTTTCATTTCTACTTCGAATTTCCTAGAGTCAGGGCACGTTGATGTAGATTTGACTAATTTTCAGGGTCTCAGGATCGCTAATCCATATACCCCGCTCCGTCATATGGCTTTATATTATAAAAATTCTAGGTTCTTCGTGCGGGGCAGCCGCAAATCTGGGGCTGCTTTTGCCTATAGCAGGACCGAAAAGTCAGCACGAGCTAAAGCAATTTTTCTCCCGTTGGACCCAACTATTGGGTATCGGGAATTTTTAAAGTGTGAATCCTTCATCCACTGGGCTGACAGAGTATTCCGGCAAGAATATATATTTGCCCACTTTGTTCATCACGTTGACCTGGCATGCTTAAAGAAACACACTGAGTCAATAAGTACTGCTAGGCTCATACTGTTCGAGAGCTTGAATTCTCTCCCCTTCATTCCATGCTTGACATGCGAACCGAAAACGTATTCAAAAATACAGTCCGTCTCAATCCATAACATCCGACAATTATGGGACGCTGAAAATAAGGACATGCACAAATACTTGATATTCATTCTGGACACAGTAAACGCAACGTGTGGTCTCTTACACAGTGGTTTTAACAATGTAAGATGTCCTTGTCTATGTCCCATCGCAACAATTGCGGAAAAGTATAACTTGACCCTCACGCAATACATGGGACATTACATTACCCCAACATCCTTTGTTAAGAATAGTTTTGGCGTATTTTTCTACCGTATAGGTGAAGTTAGCCCGGACGAAGCCATGTATGAAATAAATGTTCACATCATCAATTTCATGACGGTGACCAATCCGCCTTCTCCTGGTAGCGGCGTGGCTACGTTCGTGTCCCCCTTCGACACGGGAACGTGGACGTCTCTTTTGTTCAGCGTCATTTCAGTAGCCGGATGTTTGACCTGGTTGGCATGGAAGGGCGGTGAAAGCAAAGACGCGGTCACCTTCCTTACCATCATGACCGAGAAGGTGATCATGGTAGCATGCATTCTTCTAGGTCAGGTTGGTGAAAGTACAGGAAAGGCGTATCAAAGTAGAAAAATTGTTTGGATCCTACTTATCTTATGGTTATTGGGGAATTTCCTCCTCATGGCCAATCTGTATCAAGGTTCGATATATTCATGCTTGGCAATTCCAAAGCCAATCCAGACCCCACACGGGGTAGAAGCTCTCGTTAACTGGAATCTCCCCGTGATAGTGATGGACGACTTGTATAATGCCGGTACTGGCCGGCAAGACTCTTACCTTCTGGATTACATAATCCCAAGATTAATGTCTAAAGAAAGTCACAGAAGTCCTAAATTTTTAAAACTTCTTAGCAAATTCTTAGCAATTGTTTTGCCTAGAAACAACAATACGTTTAGCCTCTGGGATAAGACAATACGCGCGAATTCGTCAACATCTCGGACGATTGTAGTAATGAAGCCAAACGTTGGCCTGGAAACCGATATGATACTTAACAAGTATTTAGGGAACCGACAAATTGTTTTAAATAAGGGTGACTCCCCATTCAATGTAGTCGAGTTTAAAGTCGGTAGTGCAAATTTGCTTACCCCATACACAGTTAGGGAACTGGAACGAATGATGGAGTCCGGCTTGAGTAACATGTGGGAGAAGGTACTTAGGATTAACTGTATATTGCGGACGCTAAACCCTGCGAACGAGAAAAAATATTTCGAGGCATTACAAAACTTGTTCGGGAAGGTGAAGCAAGCTATCGCATTTCATGAAGCGACTCCAGTCTCAGTGGAACTGATAGAACCAATTTTTGCAGTCTGTGGTGTGCTCGTGATCAGTGCCATGGCAGGATTCGTGCTAGAAAACAGGAATCTTCTGCAAACATTTATGCAATGTATTTATGCAATATGTTTTTGTAATTAACGTGTAACATGGAAATTAAGGTGAGATTAATATAAACCCCACACTATGGACAGAAACTTTGGAAATATACATACGTAAAAATTTACATGTTTTAGCTTATAGCCCAATATCTATTCTGTCGCCCTTCAATATCATTACGGTTTCTTATCCAACTATATATTCTGGAAATTTTACGCTATGAAACAGCAAAAGCTTTGGGGCGTTGGATTTTCTATTTTCTCTGCAAAAATATTTAGCTCATCATAATTAATTAACTTGTCTCTATTTAAGTAGAAAAAACTGAGTGCATGGTTGTTGAGTATTTGTTTGTTTCTTTTTAAACAAAAAAAATTTTTTGTCCATTGAAATTCTGCTTCCAAAAAATATTATTTGCTTTAGTATGTGCTCAATATGGTGGTCACCGTATTGACTCCCGCCTCCCGCCGCCTCTTAAACCGACGTTGGTAGAAAATTTCAAAAGTCTTTGGTTTAATTTCGTTTCGGCGGAATTATTTCGAATTTCAAGAGTTCCACGCAACGATTATTCATGTAATTATTCTATTTGACACACAGACGTTTGACGGTCACAATTGGCCCTTCAGATTCCCGCCGTCTCTTGAACAAAAATTGGGAGTGAATGACAAATATCCTTGATTTCATTGGAGTTTGATTGTATGGAATGAGTTTCGATTTCACGAGTTCCACGCAATGATTATCAACGAAATTGTTCCACATGAGACACATACATTGGAGGATTACAAGGCGGCCGAGAAATTGCTTTGGCTTCGAGGAAAGGTTGTAAATTTTAGGAATAATTGTAGCGTAATTGCGTAATAAATTTTTAGATACAGCAATTTAAGGTAGAATCTAAGGTTACCCCTACTCTGAGGTATTTTGAGGTAATACCAAGCCCAAGCAGTGCTGAAACATAATGTCTTGCAGTTTGGATGTATTATAGGCCAGTATCTCTCACATTTCTCCACTTATGGATGATGGCTTGAAAATATGCCCCCCAATGGTATAAAGATGTGTGGTTAGAATTTTAGGAATAAGCCAGAGGTTGACGGCAGTCGGCTAGAAATGCACACTGTGCTGGGCTAACTTCCTATGCATTCAAATTTTAGCAAGTTGCAGAAAAAATAGACAAATGTTTTTTATTGCATTTTTTGCACATTAATGATCAATTTGAAGTTTCTGATGTCTGGCGACTTAATTTGTCAGCATTCTTACATAAAAACCTCATTTCATCATTCTGAAAAACCTGAGTATATTAAAACCATTAGAAAAGTGCTCGTTTTCGTGCAGTTTTTATCAAATTTCTCCTGAAAACGTGATTTTTTACCGCATGTTTTATGACAAAGTTTAATATATCTACACTAGATTATCTACCCATTAAGAGTATTCGGAGGCAAATCAGAGCTAATCGGTCGGTGAGGTTCCCTCGTAAGTAAATACGTTATAAATAGTATGCACCTTCTAAACCGACAAAGGATTTTAGCACAAACCAAAATTTATTAATACGTGTATCCTCATTTTTACGAGGTTCAACGTAATACTTACGTTGCGTTATATAATATTGCGAAATATGTGGTTACGTGATACCACTTGTTTACTCCTGTTGGTACAGGATATGACGAACTTTGGTCATTAAAATATTCAATTGTGACAAATTTGACTTGATTCATATAAATTCAAAATGATGATATTTCACTCGTCGCCAAGACATTTCGTGGCGGTGCCCGGTATTTTACACATACTCATTTACACGTAATCATTTACACATAATCATTTACACATGTCATCAGTTACACATAATTATTTACACACCGAATCATTTACACACCGAATCATTTACACACATTTAATCATTTGAAGGGGTTTCGACTATGCATAGTCCAGAGAAATTACTTTCTAAGCTGAAAAACCAGTCATCAGCAAGTGAGCGTCACCCTTGTACCCCGTTTTGGGTCATAGTGCGAAAGGCACAGTCAATAAATGTATACATACAATCAAAACGGGGAGTCATGTAATTTAAATATACTCATTTCGGAAATGCAAACATAACAATTAAAGAATATATATAAATTTCCGACAATAATAAAATGAGCAATAATTAATAATGCAGAAGGCACGAGCAGAATATATTAAATAAATAAAAATCATTAACGGCAGACATACTTCGATCAAAACGATGGAGAGATACAGTAAGCAATGGCACGCAAATACTCCATGTGAGAAAGTTCTTGGCCATATTTTTCGACCGTACACTTCAATTTTTTTGCCACGTTTACATATTTTTTCTGAGGCGGGTCAATTTTTCCGGCAAGAAATTGTTCGGTAATTATCACAATTTATTCAGTACACAATAAATATAATAAGATGATGAAACGAGCACTGACTGAACGGAACAAATACATATGTAAGAGAAAATCTACAACCGCGTTATTTTGGGAAATGAGATACAAGTATAACATTCCAATGAACGTTCGGTGTGTAAACCATGGTGTGTAAGTAATTATGTGTAACTGGTTAGGTGTGTAACAGCTCAGATGTGTAAATAATTATGTGTAAATGATTACGTGTAAATGATTATGTGTAAATGATTATGTGTAAATGATTATGTGTAAAATACCGGTAATCTTTCGTGGCAAGGACAAAATGGGTTTTCTACTCGTGATCCCTGCTGTTCTAACTGTTCTTACGTGCCTGTCTGCGCCTTCCACGGCAGAAGTGTTTAGATTCTGCTTATATTTGAAGTAAGTGCAGAAATTCGTGGTAAATTCGTGGTATATCCACCTCGACCTACTCAAAGTTTAAATAATATTTAAATAAATTGGAGATATTTTTTGACAGGTTCGCGTCATTAATAATGTCATAATATTATATATTTTCAGAAATATTCCCACCAATTCCAACAATAAAGCTGGTAAAAATTATAATTTTCGTACAAGTTAATATTTGCTTAAACTGAGAAAGAAAAATAAATCCTATGTCGGAACCCTTGCCGATATTTTATTTCCGATAAGTTTATGGTCGAGGAATTATAAATAGGCCCATTTCTGCAAAGTGGCTGCAGACGCAGGGGACATTGTGCGACCAGAAATTCAGCAAAATTGTATATTGTCCCCTCCTCCTCTATCCCGTAATAATTATGGCACTGCATATCCCACCGCCTCCGTTCCTGCATAACCAATGAGTTTAAAAACGGGTCTAATTTTAATGCCTCGACCATACCTACAGGGTCGATTGGATTTTAGATAACGCTCAAATTTTACACTTTTATGGTCACTCATATGTTTTTTAAATATATAGAAGTCTACCTGGAAGTGGTTAATTTTGGGGATACTGTATTGTCTAAAACTTGTCAAGTGCCCACCTCCCTTGTCAACGCGGACATTGGTGACATCTACGAATATCATGAGAAGGGCGGTGGATGGGATGTAAATACCAAAGCAACTTCTGTTTAAATAAAAAATTCGTCATGAAATCTTGATATTTCTAGGAATTGCTTGGTGGCCGTCTATACTTCGCTGGGAGTAACGAGGTAATGAGACGGCGGAGCTAAAAATTTTATTTTAAAACTTCTTGCATAGCTATAATTTCTTTTATATGATATTTATTTTTTACAATACTTTCATAATTTGGGACCAGTTTATTGGGAAGACGGCGAAGTTCGGTCCTGCCTCTGAATGGAGTGACAAATACAGGACATCGATTGAATACAAGATATACAATTCAGATAAGGGAAAGTGGAACGAGTGGGATATTAAACGTGACGGGAAGCAAAGCTACCTTGGTATTCACTATATGATAGGCAACCGTGTCAAGAATACTACACATGCGAGATTGAAGGAGAAAAATGTCTAGGCTATTGTCTTACAATAGAAGAGAGCTGGCTAAATGTTAAGGTTCGCTTAATAATGGACATGTTTACCGTAATTAATGAATAAATCGTCATATTTCAGAGTACATTTTTTATCAAAACCCCGTTAAATCATCAAGGTTCAGTTCGTCACATGTGTCCACGGTCGCTGTGCATGATAAATCAGAGGTCGACGCCGCCGATCTCACGCCGCCGCGCCGCCGAACGCCGGTAGTATTTTCGGCGCCGCCGCCGCCGAAAAATTTGATTTCCTATTCCTTCAACATTGGGACGCCGCGCCGCGCCGCCGCGCCACCGAAAAATCCCCGAAAATTGGCGCCGCCGCCGCCGAAAATTTGTCGGCGTCGACCTCTGTGATAAATACGTTTTCCATAATGAATGTATTGCGTATTTTTTAAATTTTTTACATAATGACTTTACATAAATAATTTAATAACAATAGAAAATTCGCATCTTTGTGGGCTGTAAGTGTTCTAAAAAAACAAAATTAAATTCATACTATTGATTCTAAATACGGATGTAAACATGTACATATGTATGTAGGTTCAATGTGTCAAAATGTACATAAGTATGTATACGGGGGAAGTTTGGAAGTTTGCCCATTTGAAGTTTGGAATACTCCTATTTCGTCACGTTAAAAAGTCCGTCCGCCCTCATTATCTCGTTAATGTCCATACATATTTAGATACTATGTCCTCACCGCGATATTTGGCTCACGGCGCCAAATATCGCAGCGAGTTTTACACGGAAATATGAATGAATCCTTTATCTAGGGTCCTAGTAGATTCTAAAAAATATGGCGGGTACCCTGGACACGACAAGCAGTCGGGAACCTTCCCTTGTTAGCCCTTCTAGTTTAAGGTATGGTCACTACCTTATCGGACTGAGGGGTTCAAATCAGTGTGAATCAATCAATATTTCATGAAACTTTAAACCTTTTACACATGTATATCATCAAACACTAAGAAATTTATTAAAATTCATACCTAAAGCTCACGCACACCATTTAGCCGGAAACTGAATTTTGTTTCTGAAAATTTGCATCCAAATTTTTCATGCAGTTTGTTCCCACTTCTTACTGATTTTTTTCAATGTTCGTTCGAATTTCTCAATACTGTTCACCTTATTATAAAGCCACATACATACTGGGTTGGAAAATGTTGCAATTTTTAATTATCACGAAGTTACGTCCAATTTTGGGCAATGTGAACGTTACCCCGTATACTAATACATGTTAACGGGATGGGAAGAAATTGCTCCTAGAAGGGGAACACGATTTTTTTTAGTTAATTCCCCTTCGAAACCAACTCCACAGGGGATAAGACTGTGCCAAAAACGCACTTTTGAAATTTTTGAACACTCAGTTGGAACATACTCCTGAGTTGAATTAACACCACCGGTTTCACTATTTTTTGTAATTAAGTAATTATTTGTCATAAAGATAATAATAACAATTAGTGTTAAAAGGTGAATGTTTCTTAGAAATTATCGATTCGCTGTTCCAGCTTCATCCTGCTGCTCCTGTGTCAGTACATTTTGGCCCTTAGAATTTATACGAACTCGTACATTACAGAAACAGTTCCGATTAATAAGAAAAGCGGTCCGCATTTGGTGCTGTTGTCGCAAGCTGATATACTAGGCAAGAGGATCACATAAATGGTGTGCAAGGATGGTATTTGCTGAAATTGGTGGAGGTGGGGAGGGGAGGAGGTAGTACGGCGAAAGGGAGGAGATGATCCGTCCGAAAAGTCATGAAACTATTTAATTATTTCTGGCCACTGGCAAGTGTGGTGAGAGAGATAGAAAAATGTTCGCTTTGGGCTCAGTGCAAAAACATTGTGAGCAGGATTTAGACACACATGAAAGGCTTTTTCCCACTTTCTGCCACTTTTGGCCACTTTTGGCCACTTTTGGCCACTTGCCCCTAATTTTAGTGGCCGGCAAAAAGTGTCTTTTGCCCACTTTTGCCCACTGTCCTGGCCAATTTAGTTTTGGCCACTCGAAACCCTGCTTATGCACTTTTCGTCAAAATGAATTTCTCGGGATTTACCTTTTACATGTTTTGCATGAATTTCAATTTTGTTTTACATGATTTTAAAAATTTCAAAATATATTTTTGAAATCGAGACATGACTTTGCATGTGTTGAAAAAATTTTCAGAAAGTGATTTTGATAATTTTTGGTTGATGATCTCAATAATATTTCATCGAACTTTAAGTTGAATGGTAAATCTCGAGAAATTCATTTTGACGAAAAGTGCATAAGTATTAGCATGGGATTTTTGAGTTTTCAAAGGGGGTACCTCATAAAATATTTTGGAAATTCAAAATTTCAAAATTTTATATTTCCAAGAAACGTGAAATTCACAGACGAATTTCATCAGTTTCCATCATTGGGGACCCCAAAGAGTAGGAAAAAAATTATGGCATGTCTTGGTCCGGTAGACATGTCGTGGCCTTCCCCTGTAAGTAGTGGCCAAGCACTATTAGAAAATGAACCAAATTTGTTCAAGTGTTTGACTAGTGGGGGTCATGCGTATTGGTAGGTGTTTCTATATGTTAAATTGTCAAAGTCGTCATTATATAATTTACGCCAAACATTGTAAACGAACTGAGTGGAATTGGTGAAAAATGTATCCTCGAATTGATCAAGCTTTGACTCGGGCTGTATTAAATAAACCTGTAACTCTTGCAATTTATATACATATGAGGGTGTCTGCCTTAACCTCAATCTACCCGTGGAGACGAAAATCTAAATTTTTAACTCCAACCTCTAATGGATCTATACCTTCAAGCCCAACAACGTAATATTTGAATTGGGTATAGTTGGAACAATATTCTGAACTAACACATACTACCAAAATTACAATCCCAGTTACCATGGAAACTTAGGAAACTTTTTGGAAGTAATTTAAAGCCTCTCAAAAAAATGGGAATGACATTACTAATATTTAAGTAGTCACCTACATGGAAAACAACCTGTTAATTTTTTAAATTTTCTCTCATATTAAGTAGAAGAAGCCTCGTAATTTGCTTATCATTATTCTATGTAAATTCCTTATCAGCGGTTAGTCTTACTTCCATTTGACTCAACAGCTTTCTTAGTTTCATTCGTATCTCCGAGTTTGACAGTAGTACTAACAAATATTTTGTCTATTCACATTTCCACTTCGATACAACTTTAGTAATTCAATTGATACAATAATTACAATTTAAAAAAATGGCACAACTTTCTAGAACATTAAACTTTAATAACGATACATCATCTGAGTCTGAAGACGAGGGCCCATTAACAAAGAAAAACAGAAAAATTTGTGACTGGGAACATATTGCTGAGTCTAATAACTTGGATGAGACAAAACAGTTCATTTTAGCAAAGGTGAAGTGGGTTTATCAAAATCAATATCAAACCAAGCCTTGGTTTGACTATCCTTGGTTACCAAGGATAGTCGAATGTTAAGATTTGCTTGCAAAAATTCGATTTCATGCTCTTCTAAATGGAGAATCACACACCCATTGAGCCCCAGCATTGTCTCCGTTGAAAAAACAATTAGTGAACACGATCATATCCCAAAGAAAGTTAGAGGTTAGTAACTATCATAATTTATGCTATAAATTCCTACTGTGTAAAATATAACTTCTTCTTGACCTAGGTTTACCACAGCCATTAAAATTGGAAATCATAAAGTTGTTGGAGAATGGAACAAATAAACCAAGGGCTATTATGTATCAGCACATAGCAGAGAAGAGGATCAGAACCTCCTTTAAAATCTCAATTGACAAATTTCCTGACTACATACCGAGGAAAGGAAACTCCACCAATTGTTTCGTTCAGTGCCCTCGAAGCTGAGTGCATTAAGCTAACGAATGAGCCTGATAACGTCGACTAATTAACGTCGTTAATTACGAAGTGGACTACGTTAATAAATGATTTGGTGTGTTCATTTCAAAGAAAAGGCTGATTGATTTGACTACGTTGTCTAAGCTTTAACGAATTACCTACCAATGCATGCCATGTGGCATATCATTTTTCTCAGTTCGTCTAGGCGGTTACAGCGCCATTATTAGAATTTAAAAAACCACACCCCCAGTGGGTGTGGTTATTGGTGCCCCGTGACTCGTCCGAAGCCAGGTAAAGCGACATATCGTTCTTCTCAGCTCGTCAAGACGATCATGTGGACATAGTTCAAATTATCAAAACCACACCCACTGTGGGTGTGGCAATCAGTTCTTCGGGAATTTTAGGAAACAACGTAAAGCTCCATACCGTTTTATAAATATGTTCTTGTAAAAAGCGCCAGAAATTAATGCTGAATAAATTATATATAAATAGTTTACTCCAAATACTACTGACTCATTGGGTGCTTAAATTACGCACTAATTGTAAGTAAATTAATTTGGTCCGATCATTGTAAAAATATGACACCAAAGCATTTGGAAATGCTGTTAATTTTTCACTTTGAAATGTAAAAACTTTTGTCTTGCATTCTTGTAGTCAGATAATTTAATTTGAAGCAATTTAGAAGCAATTAAAAAAATATTCCTCGGACACTTTAAAAATACTTATTCGTCAATTGAGATTGAAGATAAATATACTAACAAAAATTTCAAATTTCAATTTGATAAATTGAAAATATTTGGAAAGTAAATTTTGTGAGAATCACCCGAATTAATTTCACGTAAAATTTTCTACGGTTTCCTGAAAAGTGGTTATTTTTAAAATCATAATAAATTCAAGCGCAGACATGCAATGAATTAAGGCACAGCCAGAATATTAGTTACATATTTTCAAAAAATAACAACTTAAAATTCGTCTGAAAAAAATCGGAGAAAATTTTGTCATGCATACGCATAGTGAATGGATCAGAAGAGACCCAGGGACCATGTAATGAAAAAGTCTGGTTTCGGCCTGAAAATATTGACAACTTTCGACTTTCAAAATCATATTTCGACCAAAATCTAAGTATTTGGGCAAAATAAAATCGGCGCCAAACTTTTGTCGGCGGCGGCGTTGGCGGCGGCGCGCCGAAAATTTTTCCCGGCGGCGCGTAAAATAGTACCGACGTTCGGCGGCGCGGCGGCGTATGGTCGGCGGCGTCGACCTCTGATCTGAATTTATCGTCACATCGGACGAAACATTATTCTTTGTCGAAGACTGTAAAAAAGCGAGCAATTTACTATTCTACGTCCCGAAATGAGATTGAGAACTATGTGTGTGACAAAAGTGAAACGTTTTCTGACAAGGTGATGATAGTCGGCACAATGAGTGGTGGTGGAATACTTCCTCTGCTTCAAGTCCCCCACAATGTAAAGATAAATGCTACTTATTATGTAGACAAAATTTTACAACCATTTTTGGAAGAACAAATTCCAAGACGTTACCCTGGGGGGACCCAGTAGGTATTCGTTCATCAAGACGCGGCGCCCTCTCATACCGCTCGGATCACCACCCAGTACGCAGCCGAATTAAAATAAGAATTCGGAATCACAATTATTCCTAATAAAGAAATACCTGTCAACTCCCCTGATGCATCTCCCATGGATTTTTTTGGCTTTGGAACATTAAAACAAGCACTTTTCCGGAGAAGAGTCACCAGTTTTGATGGACTTTGCAAAGTTTTAGATGACAAATGGCGCCAAGTGACCCCTGAAATATGCCGTAAAGTTTCTGATTCTTGGAAACGACTACTTCGTTCCATGTCAGAAAAGGATCGGGAACACGTGGAAAATACCAAAAATCTACACCCACAAAATTAAGGTCAAACAGTATTCTATAATCTCGCCCATCCTTTAGTACATCTGTGACATTGTACAGGGGAGAGAGCGCAGGTCTTGAAAATCACAAGCATAATTTATGAACGATCCCTAATCACATAGTGCCTGGCTCGTCCTTAGAAATCTTAATCCGGGATGACATAACCCGATAATAAGTATCTTAAGTTTTATGTTGTACAATATTTATTATTCAGCAATTAAAAGCTAACTCCGAATTACGGTCATGAATGAATGGACAGGATAAAATTAAAAGACATAAGAACAAAGGTCATTACAACTCCTTTTGAAAGCATGAGGATTTTGAATAGTTAGGAAATTATGATTTTTTTTTCATTTAGCAATTAGCATTACAGTCTCCACCATCGTGACAAAATTGGCAGGTAAGTTCGGTATTGTTCCACTGGGTGAATGCAGGACACATCAAAGTCTTGGGGGCACTGTCCCACAAACCAGCTTCAAATTTGGGGTCTTTGTACGTATATCGGCGAAGACAGGCAGCGTCCGATTTGAACTCACAGCCTGGTTTGCAATCGGGATCGGCACGATATTGCGTTTGCTGGTCGTCAGGCAGTTCGTCCCACAGGTCGCATATTCCCCCATGCTCGTTGGATCCTTGATTCCAGAATAATTTTCCTGTCACAAGAATCGATCCGTCATCCTCGACCTAATCAGTTTATCAAACAAGATATAGTCAGAAAAATTTAAAAACTCTAAAAACTAAAAAAAAACTCATAAAATCTCTATATAAATATTTTGGATTTGTCCAAATCGTAATATCAACAATAATAGAATGCCAGTGTTAAGTCGCTGACTATCGACGGCTCTCAATGCAAGTTGCCCCACTACGATTGAATTTGAGTCAACTTGCCATGAGTAAAGTAGTGTGCTCCGGTTTACCATTGAGCGTACTCATGACGACTCTCTGCCGCGATGTTTAGTTCTCTCTCACTCGAAGTGAAAAATAAACAAACCAGTTCGACGGGCTTGAGGCGCACCCCTACGGGAGGTCTATGGTCTGTGCATTAAAACAAGACCCTTTTTTCAGTTTAAGGTTACGTGGCCGATCTTGTAATGCTTAAGGGATCGGCCACTTAAAAACAAAAAAAAAATCAAGAAAACGGTCTTATAATTATACACTGACCATTGAACCCGTCCTTGGACGGGCCTCTACTCTAGTATTTCAATAAAATGCCCACCTTCACGTCACAGGCCACCTCATCCCAGGTTCTCGTAGAGTTGCCACATCGAATGAATTTGTCGCAATAACCGCACTGATGACAATCTACGGCGGGATCGCATTGGCCGCCAAGCGTGACATTGAGTTCGGCACACGTCTTTGGAGCGCCCTTACCTGAAAAAGATTAAATATTCGTAAAAATACATTAATTTTGGATTTAAATATTCCCGCAAATTTAACAATTTCTATCTACGCCCCGAAACGAATTATATTTATTTGGAATATTTAGTTCGTGTTACTTTCTGGCACCGCCGCGGCGCCAACCATTCCTAGTGTAACCCCTACAAGACCCAAAATTGCAAAAATTTGCATTTTGTCTTCGTTTTTGATGTATGTTTCTGAAGAGAAACTGCAAAATTATGGCAAGTTTGTTTGGTTGATGGGAAGAATGATGATTTGGACTTGTGTACAGAATGCTTTTATAGTCGTCAAGATTAAGTATGTTGTAAAGTCAGCTTTGTTAAATTGGTGGCTTACGCGTTCGCACGAAGTTTAGCAGATTATATAAAATTCGAAATTTAACTTTATGATCGTGGTTTAAGCTCCTGGGGGGATTTAATTTGATTGATTGATTAATTACGTTTATTACACAGATATTTCAGTGGAAATATGTACATTGTTCAGAATTGCTATGCATTTTATGACTTAGTTTTATGCTAAATATTGTATTTCGTAATGTGTCATTGTCTTCACTATAATTATAATTCGGTAATAAATTATTACCAGGAGACTAGTCGCATTAAGGGTCGATTTTGGGCCAAGCCTTTTTACTGTTTTATTTTATAAGTCATAATAGTATAAGAATAAATCGCTATGACAGAGTTGAAAAAATTACCCCCAACAACTTGTTTAGGCCAAAAACTGAAATTTCGCTATGTCGGTTTTAACCCCTTCAGGGGAAAATTTCTCTAAAACGGTTACATATTTCTTAATACGATCAATTTTAAAATGAAGGTACTTACATAGAGTAAGTAAAAAATCGAATACTAATCCATTATCATTTTAACCGGTTCCATAAAGAAAATCCGACATGACAAAAATCAATTCGATTTTTTATTAGCGGTCATAGCGATTTATTCTTATACTATTATGACCTATAAAATAAAAAAAAAAGACTTGGCCCAAAATCGACCCTTAATGCGACTAGTCCTTCATATATAACTCTACGGCCACGGTAATGAATGTAGTACTGATTGGTATTAAATTCATTTCCACAAATGGGCTAAAAGTATTACTTATTTGATGGTGCTAAATATGCGGTGCTATTTTTTACAAGGCAGTAAGACATTTATTACCATGGCGGTAGAGTCATGTAAATATGTACGTATGCCTTCCACCCGGTAATACTTTATTATCCAATTGTTTAGAGTGTATCTCGTTCGTCATGGAACTGAATTTCATTGAAAATCATAACTTCGCATTTCATTCGAATTAATGATTAAACATTATTGTGATAATTGGATTAAAATAATACGCCTAAAATCTTAATCCCCTTTGAATACGAGATTAATTACGTATACATTTACTTATCTTCTGGACATACCAGCAGGAAAAAATCGCATATCGTTGCAAAATTTAGTAATAAAACGGGTCATATTAAATAATTATAATAAATGTTAATCCATTACAAAAATATGCCGATAATCTTACATCTGCCTGAACAATAAGCGCAATACCACACCCATCCTGCTTCTGTACGTATATCCAGGCGAAAAATTTATGATATCAAAGTATTAAGCCGCCTCAATTAATAAAAATTGCGCCGGATTTAGGTGAAATAAAGGTTAAGTCGTGATGTGATTACATATCTATTTACATTTCTTTGAAATCGGGAGCCACACGACATGATGACGATAATTGTATGCATTTACACTTTCCGTAAAACGCGTAATAAGTATGCTCGGGCAATCGCCACTCATAAAAATGATAAGCCCTAAATGATAAGCCTTAAACTTTGGATAATCCAACTGAACAAACATACATAACCTTAATCCTGGCTGATTCATCCCACCTATTTGCACACACCTCAATTAGGTATTTACATATGTACGCCACATTAATAGCGACCGTATATAAAGAATGATCTATTCTCATTTTATTTCATCAGTCGCCACTCACCAGGCAAGAAACCGGTACCAGCTACAAAAAAATGAAGCCTTTCCTTGCGCTTTTATTTCTCGCAGTGGGCGTGCCCGCTATCCTTGCCGCGGGCAAGTGTAAGTTTCCATTCAGTATTTTAAAAAATAATTCAGTTTTAGATTTTAAAAATTTGTTAAATCGTTAATTTCCTTTTTAGCCCACGCATTGAAAGATGGCGGGAAAGAGGTTGCTGTAAAGTCCGGTCAACTCATAGACTGGTATTCGTGCGCGGCGCAAGGCAATTACCCCGATCCGACGACTTGTGACCATTACATCGCTTGTACCACGGCCCTCCTCGCGTATCAAATGCCTTGTCAAATGGGACACTCTGGGAGACTTTGGTACGTTCGAGATTCCGGTCCAGTGGAGGCAGAGTCTTACTGTGACTACCCGGAATTGGTGGACTGCAAATTGTGTTAGTTTTACATTAATTGGCATTTTAAACGTTTGAAAAAATAAAGAGGCAAATATTTTATACATAGCGCCTGCTACCACTGAACCACCAGCCCCAACGGATCCAACCACAACCGAACAAACCACCACCAAAGCGCCCGAAACAACGAATGCTCCACCCACTGGTGGTTCTCCCTCCTGCGAAGGTAATTTTCTGCATAAGAGTTGTTTAAATTTCCACCCGGGAAATAACCACGGGTCGAAATGTAAATTAAAATTAATTTACATTTTAATGTAAATTAATTTTTTTGGGACCTTGACATTTCCTTCAATGATATAGTGACAAATTCAAAACTAAATTCAATTTTATTGATTTTCTAATTAATTAGTAATTAGAATTAGTTTCGCCGGTACTAATTAAAGTTGATTAGTAATTATTAATCAGTTCAAACATGCTATTTAATTAGCTAATTAATTAGACAATATAATTAATTAGAAATCCCTGAATAATTTGTATAATCCCGTATAATTTGCCGCAAATTATGCGGGAAAAGATAGAAAATTAAAAATGATCGAAATACTTATTTCCAGCTGTGGGAGTCGTCGTCGATGCGGATTGCGATCCCGCCGTAGACTGCCACCAGTGCGGTTACTGCGATTCTTACCTTTACTGTCCCGAGAAGGGTAATAAATGGACAGTGGGTAATTGCGATGAGATACCGGAACCAGATGGAACCGTCCTAGTTGCCAAGAAACTTTTCTGGAATTCGGGATCCACCGAGCACGGGGGTACCTGCGACTTTTACGACAACTTGTCACAAGACCAGCAGACAAAATATCGACAGGATGGCAACTGCAAGCCAATCTGTGCCTTCTGGGTGGATCCATCGTGCGACAGGAAGTATTGGTATACCGATCCAAACCTGGCTAATGGTATTTGGAAGGATAAGGCCGATATGTTTTGGTGTCCGGCTGGAACCAGGTTCGACGAAGGGCATGACACCTGTTCATTCTGTGACGAGGGACAAGCCTGCAATGTCGGTTGTTAATTAATGATACTAAAAATTTGTGCCAAAATATAAATTATTGCAAAAGAAATACAATTAATTCTTGTAAAAAAGGTATTTTGTAACGATTCGGACACTTTTTTATTGACTTGGAATTTATACGATTGTATCCTAAATTTATTTTTCACTTTGCGAGTCGAAATAGGCTTAAAGATCGACTTTACAAGCTAATGAATCCACTCTTAATAATCTGGTTATAATTATAACCGGATTTCACACGTATGTATACGTCCCAACCGGATTGGTAACAAAATTCTCACCGGCTGAACACAACTGTATCACGGCGCGGTTACATTTTTATCACCAACCCTGTCGGGTCGTACACGTGTGAAATCCGGTTATAATTATAACCAGATGATTAAGAGTGCCCTTATTTATTGTCCATTGAAGGCCAACACTCATTTACAACTCTTTGGAGGAGTTATAAATAAGTAAATGTACTCTCTAATTCAAAAGTGAAACGGTGGATCTCACGATCATTCGTTTACTTACCAAAATTGAATGGGGGTCTGGGTGTGCGTAATCGCCCGTAACAGCTCAAATTGCTACATTTCGATTCACTTTATTAAATAAAATATTGTCCTCAAGTGAGGGGAATTACTTCTTGTCTGAATCCTTTAACCAAGTTCAGTGGCTAATTAATTCCGAAACTTTAAAGTTATCAACTTTTTATAAACAAATGCATAATGTGACCCAAGTGCTTGGCGTGAGACTTACTGCGTACGGTAAAGAATTTTTGCATGAGATTTTAATTAGTAGCCAATTTTTATTTAGAGATTTGAGTAATAATTATGTATCTCGTTGTAGTATTTTAAAGGTTGATGTTCTCTTTGGAATGAGCCAGTTAAAATCCTTAGAGCTACTACCAACAGCAGTTAAACGGCACGCATTTTCCGAGAGGAAAAAGTATATCGACGCCGTTGCCATGGTTACCGACTCACTCGAACTTAGACTAGATATCTCTTCAGTGTTCAGTGAGTCAGACAGGGTATTGGTTGCCAAGGAGACCAACTACCTCCACTGCCTACGCGTTCATCATAAAATTAGATGGGATGAACTGGATGAGGCTACCTGCTCTCACCTACAGTGGAAGCGCTTAGCATCCACTCCAGTAACCAACCCAGAGAAGGACACTGTTCTTAAAATCTGGCACAATGTAGGCTTGACCCCTTCGATGGCATACTCACTCAAAATTTACACTAATTTTTCCTGTCCGTTTTGCAACATTTTAAAGCCAAAGGTTGGTCACTATTTAAAATGTCCACATACTTCAGATTTGAGGAATATTGCGGGTAAACTCCTAACAAAAAAAAATAGGTATTGACACGGGAGCCTTCGACGACGCCTTCCTTCATGGGGTAACGCATGCGGGTGGCAATATTTTAATCTTTTATGCTTATAATATTATTTACAAAGCTTTTGTCCACCGTTTAAATAATTATTCAGGCAAATTTGATCTCATTTCTTCATTCCGTCACATTCTTTATGGGCGGTTTCTGACGAGTATTATGCATGCGTTTTAAATTCAAGCCTGTTTCCTAAATTTCATAAAAATTGGGACAAATTTGACTTTTTTAAGATTTCAAATAATAAAATTGATATTAATTTAGGTTTTTGATGCAACTAACTTTCCTTTTATGCATGATTAACCAATTCCTAGTTGTTAATTATTCGTAAATTAGTCATAAATTAGACTAAATTTCTTATGATATGATAAAAGTGTGATAGAATCTTTAGATTTGGATATATTTTACTATATTTTTGCTACCTAAGTGATATCAAAACCTAAGGTTTGATCATAATGATAAATGATATGTAATTATTCTTATATTACTTAATTTTAATTGGAATTTGTAACATTTTAAGAGGCAAGAAGAATTTTGGAGACAAGCATTGGCTTAGTTCCTACCCATGACGGCCAAAATTAGAAAAGCCTTGTCGAGAAGACGTCGCCTCAATATTAATAAATAGTGATATGTAATTGGTGATGAAATTAATTATCTGGAATACATTCACACGTTAAATTGATATGGAAAAAAAAAGTTTTTAAATCAGAAATCGGAACCAATTAAATCAACACTCTTTAGAAAAATATAAGTATTCCTGTTTCTAACCGTACTTCCAAAGTGATTCCAATTTGTGCAATCTTCAGCTTTATGTAATGGTTTGATGTAGTAATTAAATTGGTGGAAATGAGTTTCGTAAATCTTACGTATTTAATTTCTCTTGTATTTATGCTTCTTTTGAAAGAAAACGTTAACTAACTGACAGGTTGACTAGGTCGGATTGAATCGAATACCCGCACACCTGCGGAGAGGTTGGATTCAATGCAATATGGCATATTTATAATCCAAAAATTTATTTATAGATGTGTAGCATGGATCACACGAAACAGTGCTTTGAGGACAGTGCCCTTGCTTATTTCTAGTCTACCGCAGAAAGGTCTTTATTCGTATATATTTTAAATATTTAAGTTTGTGATTGTCAAAGGCATTGAAATAAACACAATTTTACATAGACGAAAATATATACGTGATCTTGTAACTATGTAGGGTTGATTTATTCTGTACTACGTCTCGATTTAATAGTGAAAACTTGTACCTAAAAAATGACAAAAATGCACGTGTAACAAAACTAGACTAATAAGAGACTTGTGAACACAATTAAACTTTAAATTTAGTCATGTCCGAGTTGTGTTCCCATATTTGTTAGCAATGACCAGAAGAGTTGCAAAAGCATTTACATATTATGAGAAAGTATTATTTAAATCAGCTAAAATCCTCAACCCTAAACCTATATAACCAACTAACATGTTCAATAATATCCAAGTTTTTATTTATTTTAATGTTTCGTTTGGTAGTATGTTCGATAATTATGGCATTGGTTAAATGATTTTGCATCTGTCGCACGCTCGAACGACACCATTAATAAAAACTTCAATCAATTAATAACTCAATCAATCAATTAGAAGATGTTAATAAAATTAATAAAATTAATTTACCCTTCAGAGTTAATTTAGATATATACAGTTAGCAAAAATTTAAATCGTACCCTTTTCTGTTATGACACAAACCCATGACTTCCTGCTTGTTGGAAATCAATTTTTAGTATGCATTACATGAATTTTATAGGAAATTTAACGTAGATTCCGAAAATAATGAGCGTTTTTCATTTTTCATTACCAGTAAATTACAATTAATTAAAAAGTGGAGGGAAGTCTAAAATCAAAGCAAAAAAAAATAAATCGTACCCCTTTGGATTTTGGATAATAATTTTGTCTATGAATTAATTAGTACTTCCTCCAGCCTTCTTTCGCTTTAATTATACTCTGGATATCCCGTCGCATGGATTCCACTAAATTTTTGGTCACTTCCGGTATGATATGTTCCCATGCGTCACTTATGATGGAGTTCAAGTCATTTTTCGACTTAGGTTTTCACTGGAAATCCGCCTCGCCAATTCTGACCATAATATTCGATGTCGATGAGGCCAGGAGATTAATCAACCCATGGGAGAACATTTAGTCGATTTACCTCGAGGTACCGCTTAATAATCTTGGCGTTATGGGTGGGGTCCCCGTCGTGGAGCAAAATGAAGGTCATCCTGAGTCGTCATTGCCTCGCTTAAGTGACCAGGTTTTCCTCCAAAACTTCGTGGTGGATTTCCTACAATCCGTAAAATACGAAGTTTCAACTTTATTGTACGTCCTCGAGGCCCAAACCATCACAATTCCTTCACCATGTTTCACGGTCTTCTTCATACACTGGGGCATGAGGGGACGTCCTTAAATTACGTAACGCTAAAATGGGATTTTCTGGACCCCCACCCCCCCCTGTTGTAACGCTCGCGTAACGCTAGCGCAGACCCCCCCCCTCCCCCCTCGTAACGTAACGAAAATTTTGGCTTTCCGAAAATAGCTTAACAATCACAATAAATCTAATTAAGTACTTTGATTACTGCAATTCAACACTTTACGCATTCTATTTTATAGTAGTTGATGCATCTAAAATAAATTTAAAAAAGTTAATAGATTTAATAGAAATTACGAAATAGGTTTATCAAGCAAAAATTAAAGTTTACATCAGAGCTTGCACAAATTTGGATAGCCAAGCCATCTATGTATTTAGACCAATTTTTGTAAATCACCGTGCAGAGCCGAAACTTGTTAGAGATTGTTGGCCCTTAATTGAAGAATTTGATGTCAAATTAGCAACATTTTTATACAGAGTGGCCCTATGAGGTGATCCTAACCAAATTTAAAAAATTGTCGTACACAGTTGAAATTCGGTACGGAGATGCTTATGGTTTCTCATGAAAGAATATGAAGCTAAAAATGAGCAAAGTATAACCAGACTGACCCTAGAATTGGAACCATACCGTCTTTTAAAAGTTGCTATTTTCAGCTGAAATTTTGCATGGATTACTTCTGCGTAGGAAATACAGCTTTGCCAGTTCAACAATCGAAAGAAGCGATTCCCACTGGTCCTAGTGGCTAAGGTGAAGGATTAGTAGGAAAATTTGGGATCAAATTATAAAATATTTAACAAACATTCGACCCCCCATCACAGGGATGGTAATTCGGTCAATTCGGATAAAAATTTAGAAGCGGACTCTGTGCCTGACTCGGGCTAAATGTAGCCTGCAATGTAGGTTTTTAATTTAAATTACTATTTATTTTAGCTAATGAACGGTTATTTTCGTCGTGCGTCGTGAAGACGAATAAAATAAATAAAAATCGCTGAGTTTGGGGGAATTGGAGAAAAACGTTACGTAACGATCATCGCAGACCCCCCCCCCTCCCCCTCTCGTAACGGTTCGTAACGGAAGTTTCAAACCCCCTCCCCCCCTTGAAGCGTTGCGTTACGTAATTTAAGGACGTCCCCTGAGGGCTTCTTCCGGTTTCCTCGATACGATTCCATCCGACCAAAATAGGTTGGGCATGCTTTCATCTGTCCAAACGCCACGTTTCCGGTCATTTTAAGTCCATCCTCTGTGGTCCATGGCCGATTTAAGACGCTGTGCCATATGCGCATTAGAAATGAACGGCTTCTTACTCG